ATATGGGAAATATAGGATGACGTCATCAGTACAATGAGATGGCAAATAAATTGTCATGCTTGTACATTATATTTTTTTCCTGTCTGTCTTTCCTCTTGTTTCCGCCCTCTAGCTTCATTTAGTTCACTGGAATGCTATCAAGTACAAGACGTTCGGGGAGGCGGCAGCAGCTCCTGACGGCCTCGCTGTCCTCGGCATCTTTTTAGATGTAAGATGTTTTACTTTAGTTCTGTCGCTGTGCCGCATTTCCTCTCCAGTTTGTTTTAGTATTGCATTCTGCATTAGGTCACGCAGTCTTGAACAGAAGCCAATGCAAACTCGTTTGTTTTTGTCAGACTGTAACCAAGGATCTTGTCTCATGTTCCTTTTTAACCCCACCATTTACAAACTGTTTGTGTTGTGAGAGAAATTTAATAATTTTTGTCACAAAGCTGCGTGAACGAAATCAGTCGTTTTCTGGAGTGGCTGCGTGAGAACACAATTGTCCGAGTCGGTTTTGTCCTGACTTTTTCAGAACTTTTCATCCCCAGTAAAATGTCCAAGAAAAAGTTAGCTTAGACCCTTATCGTCTGGAGTTCATATCTGAGTAATTTAGGAACTGTGTGTGTGTATGTTATGAAAGACAGGTGACGACCACAGATGGCTCCACACGATAACAGACGCTCTGTACATGGTGAAATTTAAGGTGAGTACTATCGTTGACTGTTATTGGGTTTTATTGTATTATTATGTAATGTTTTATTGTTTGTGTGTGGTTGATGACCTGCTCCGAGCATTATTGACCTGATATAAAAGCTGTTGTCTTGTGTGTTTGTATCACAGGGCAGTGTCACAGATTTCAAAGGTTTCAACCCCAAGTGCCTCTTACCCAGCAGCCTCCACTACTGGACCTACCTGGGCTCACTGACCACGCCCCCTCTACATGAGAGTGTCACCTGGATCGTCCTGAAGGAGCCAATCATCGTGTCTGATAAACAGGTGCACGTTGCCGACACGTTCATTTGACCGCAGGGTTTCTAGCACATGTGACATTTATCATATTGTTTAAAACTTTTAAGACATTGGGAAGTTCAGTGCAGTAGTATTATAATGGTCTCCTGCATCATAAGAAAGGCCAGGCCATGGATCGGTAATTTTAACGATGGCTGAGGAAAAGAAACACTTTTTAGGTAGTTGTGAAGAATAATCAACAACATTTATATATTTGTCAGCTTGCATGTAGAGATCATTGTTTGAAATCACTTGGCCCATTAACCACAGTCCAGCTTTGAACCAGCAATGGGGAAATGTCTCTTACTGTTTTAAAGCAGTAGATTTTCTACTTTAATTAATGAAAATAGATCTTGTGTAAATTACAGCATCAGAAGTGTGTAAACCAAACATCTCTCGGCCATGATGAATACACCAGGACTGTTTCTACGAGTGTGTGAAATTTGGTGCAGCTTGTCTTAATTTAAGCAGACTGTTGGGCCTGGGCAGACGTACGAGCACTACTGATTTTCATCTAGTTCAAAAGGATATATCTAAAATAACAAGTAAGTGACTCATAATTAATTAAATGGCAATTTCTTGATCTCAGATTTCACATGGATTGTTTGCACATTTCCAGTGACGTGTGCTGTTTTGTCTGACATTACTTTGTTGACTTTAACGCCACTCGGTACTTGGAGAAAGGAATTGCATGTTTTTAAGTGGAGCTTAAGGCACTGATGCAGCAGTTAATCAGTCAATTGTGAAACCCCCATTTCCTGGCCTGCATAATTTTAATGGCCTGTGCTCCGCTGGGCTGTGAGGATCCACTGCCTCATTTTGCAAACCATAAGTTCAGCATCACCGGATCAGTATGGTGGGTTTAGCCGTGGATGGGTGGGTGCTTCACAATTCTTAGGGTTTGACCAAAGTGTGACACTATATTTAGATGCCACAAGAAAGAGCAGCTCATCATTCATGGGGGATCCCTTGTAAGGGTTGACAGGTTTTTAATCCATCCCTCTAAGCACTGAACTTCATCAGAAAGTTTAGATCTGATAACTCCAGGTTGCTGACAAGTTAAGCTGACTTAACTGGACATCTGCAGCAGATTCCCTCCCGGTCCCCCCTTGAGCTGGACCCATAGCGTCTGCTGCCAGTGTTTGGATTATACTGTCACACTTTGTTGATCTTGTTGTAGTCAGAGAAACCAGAAGTTGTAATGATGGCGATGCCTCGGGTGTAGTCAGGAAGGGTCTCTGGCTGTAGCTTAGCTGGGGGTGAGGTGTAAGCCAGGCAACTGGGCCCTGCAACTCATGACTCCAGGCCTGAAGCCTTTGAGCCCCTGCAGCTGATTATCCTGATGGATGGATAACTGCATGGGTTCAGGGATTCAACTGAGAAATGCACGCATGGAGACCCAACAGGGAACAGCCCTTATGTAACAGGATATTATTTGTTTTTCATTTCTCCACATAATAACACTGGGCTAAAAGAAAAAAGAGGGTGTGAGGGTTGGGTATGACTGTTCTTCTGGGAACATATGTTTGACTCTCTCTCTCCCTGCAGATGGGCAAGTTTCGATTGCTCTTGTTCTCTGGAGAGGAAGAGGATCAGAGGAAACGCATGGAAAACAACTTCAGGCCTCCTCAGCCTCTCAAAGGAAGGAAAGTGCGTTCCTCCAATTAACGTGACCTCTACAAGAGCTCCTTTAGACGACAGTGAATGCATTAATTTGAGTGTAACTGTATTTTACCTCATGGTAGCTTGTCCTGAGGAAGATGTTTGATATGTACAGAATAAGTTCAAGGAGTAATTCTCACCACTGCCACATTCAGATGCAGAATAAGAAACATGGAAGGAGTTCATGGAAAAATAAAAGCACATGCAGCAACATATTTAATTAGCAGTCAGCTAATATTATTGTGTTAGTTGATGTGAAGTTATCATGAGCGATACTTTAACAAAGATTCAAAGGTGTGTTTTATCTCTGTAAACTGTGCAAGGACAAGTGTTGCTGAGGCAACAAGGTGCTATTCATCAATTAGCGTATTCATGTAGCATTCAGTTATATGCAACAGGTACGTTCCTTCATCAGTACAGTCGGCTGTTTGCAGGCTGGTATCGCACCACCGTGCCCTCTGCAGATTCAAGTCCTCGGCCTCCTTGCTGATCTGCATTGATCCCCTGTTGATCCAGTCCTCCTGGCCCCAGAGCCCCTCCAGTCCGGCCATGCCAACTGGAGGTGGGATTGGATTAGAGCTGCATTTGCTCTAACCATGAGGGGGGGTGTGAAAAGGCTCAGATCCTTTAGAGCTCAGGAGACTTCAGATAGCAGGGAGATTTATTATTTTTAGAGTGGTCTACAGGTTTAACAAAAACCTGTGTCCACACATTATTTCCCCACACAGGATTTATTAAACTCCAGCAGCAATACACGGTACAGGTTTTGGTTTTCTTAATCAAATTCTTTGTTTTCATGATCTTCATTCTGGGATTAAACTGTCGACGCTGCCTGGAGGGTCACAGGTCCTGGTCTAATGTGTCTGCTCACTGTTATTAACAGCTCACCCCTGAAGCTGCACTTGTAAGAATCATATATGCACAGTCCAGTATGTAAATGCCTGACAGAGGCCCTGGTGTCTCTGTTGGGTGACTTATGGCAGCTTTGTGTCATGCTGGTGCCCTTATTTAGATGGGCTTGGATTTTACTAATACAGAGGCTTATTTTTTGAATGAAGATGCCTCAGTTATGATTGTTTGATGTTGTTGATGTGGAAAGAAAACATGAAATAATGTAATGTATGGGTGGTTTGAATATTTTTGTAATGCATTCATAATCCTGCCATGGCTGCTGAATTAAACACAATTAAAGAAATGTTTTTATCTGCCCTCCCCCCCTCCTATTGAAGTGGTCTCATCAAATTTAAAGATCAATATTTTTATATATATAAATAAGCGTTGCTGTCATTGATCATTTGGAAATTTTGCTCTTAATCCAACACTGCACATTTAAGTATGTAGTATAGTATATATACATGTATTTAGGTGCATGAACTTTTACATTCATATAATGTGCAGTCAGCAGTTTCTCTTCAAAGCACATTAAGCTTCTTTGCCTGAACCTTGTACCTTGTATCCACACTCTCTTTTTAAAGGGAGTTTCCTCGAGCCAATGTTTAAACTCACTCACTGATCAGAGCAAGAGAAAGCGACTTCAAGATAATTAGTAGATTGTAGCCTCGACGGTTGAAGGACAGAAAATCTTGCACAGTAATCAGAGTTGATTATTAACATACTTTGTTCATTTAACAAGTTTTATTTGTCCCTTCAGCATTTATTTTGAAAACCAATAATAATTCTGCCTGCTATTATTATTGGCCAAATTGAGTCCTGAATGTATTATTACTATTAAACTAAAATGTTTGGACACCAGTATCTGGACACATTTTGGCATGAGTCTGAATTCAAAATATGTTTTTAGCTATAAAGATAAGTTTTACATAATTGATAAGGATGCACCACATATACAGTTTGGGAAATACAATTGCATTTTATGTAATATTGATTATTTTTAAATGAACAATGAGTGACATAAAAAGATGACTTTCTTCTCTGGGCATGTTTTAACTGTGAGTATGTATTTTTAAGTTGCACACAATAGAACTTATTTTTAAAAATCTAAATCTTTATCGCAATCAAATTGAAAGATGGAAAGCTATTTGCAGACTTTTCATCATGGACTTTTACAAAAAAACTTTGTGATCATTGCAGTGAATAAAAGATTTAGAGAAACAAAAGATCAGCACAATCATTTAGGTGAAGGAGAAAGTGGAGCCACATCAGTAAGTCACATGCTGTGTTTTCTCTCTGCTCTCTCTATCCTCAGTGTCCATTCAGGTGCCTCCCTTTTCCCTGAAGCTGCAGTGTGAGTGTGTAGGGCTGGGTACAATCACCCATCAAGGCCACGGTGGTTAAGAGGCAGAGTGAAGCAGACAGCCAGCCCCAGTGGGCCAAGTGGCAACGTGTGTGCGTGCGTGTGTTAAATTTGGTGGTCTCCTGTGTGTGTGCTGGTGTTGATAGTGTGACCATTTAGTTTCTATTAGGATGTGGAGTTTGATTGTTACTGCTGTTTGTCGCTTCCCTTTTTAGAATGCTGTTTTCAGTTTGTTATTAATAAATTACTCTTCTTGTTCATTCATAAGTTGCCCATGATTCTCTTTCCCTGGGTTGTTTATATTGTTACTATAATTTTCTGCTCCTCCAAGTCATTTACTGATTTATTTATGTTCTCAAACATAATTTAATTCTCACTTCTATTTAAATCTTGTGCACCAAACATGCAGCTTGGGGGTCATCCTGTAGGTGGCGGCATCTACTTTCTTTTGAATCACATAGAGTATTACTGTATGACCTAACCCTTGTCTTTTAGGATTTAGTAATACAGTTAAACTAAACCTCATGCACATGTGTTATGTAGGGATTGTAGTTATATAATATTTTATATTATATAATGGAAGACTTCAGCAGAACACATCATACACCTGAGCTTCTTCTTTTTACCATCACTTGACCTTGCCTCTGATCGTTCGCCTTGTCCACTGTCAGAGGTGTGAATGTAATTTGTATCTAGAGGTTGTATTTACCTGGTCTGGTTTCATTTCCATTGAACTCCTGATGGTCATGAAAGAAATAATTTCTGTGTGTGTGTGTGTGTGTGAGAATTATATTTAAAGTGTATAAAATAATCCTTCTAAAATAGCATCCTGGGAGCTTAATTGAGACTGAGAATACCTGAGGAAGGCACATCATCCTCAGCCCTGATCGATGTGCCATGTAATCAGATATTACAGTCAGGCTTCAGAAATAGACTCAGTCACATGTATTTTTAGCATCAGGAGATCTACTTGCTTGTTGTAGTATATTTTTCCCGACACAGCAACATCTGAGCAACTTTTGAAATGCAAACCTGCAGCAGAGGAAGTTGTTGGCCACACATGTCATGTTATCCTTTTAAGAGAATATGGTGAATGATGCAGGCTGATTAATGATGACAGCACTGAGACACATATGAGTTACTGCACTATGTGACAGTCCATTTGCATGAGGCTCTAGTAGAGCTCTGCAAAAGTTAAGGACATTTCCCATGGTGTAAAAATTCTCTGGTTGAAGTAAAAGCCCTGTATAAAGGCCCAAACTTTAAATACTACAAAAACATTCAGTCATACGTAAAAGTACTCAGGTTGACAAATATTTCCTGACAGTGTTTAATCAGTATCTACTTATTATTGGATTACTGTAAAAAATGTATATGTAGTATTTTATGTGACAGCATGATTTAATGTTGCTTCATATACTATTAAGATTAACATTTTCCAATGCACTGTATTTTAAAAACTCAATAGGTTTTGGATTTATTTGTATAACACTCAGAGCCATAACAATAACTGAATCTGAAAAGTAAATAGTAGCAACAGCTTTCGAATGTAATAGAAGGACAATTTTTCCTTGTGTGGTAGATTTGAAGCATTATTCCACCACAGCTGGGCTTCAAGAGATGGAGAGAAGTAAGAGTTTATCAGACAAAAAGGAATTCACGTTAAAAATGTCGATTTGCATTATGGGAATGTAGGACTCCGTGTTTTTGAATCCCAGAGAGATGGAAAGTCAGAGTAACTTCTCCTCTGCTGTTCTTTGACTTCTCTATTCTGTCCCTTGTGACTCTCCTAAACTGCTGAGAGCCTCTTTAAGTGAAGCTACATTATCTAATCTAATTCTTACACAATACATAAGACTATATTTGACAGTCATGAAGCTGCGGAGGCTCAAACCACATGTGCCCCTAAACCACAGTCACCACTTACTCTCTACCAAATGATTGCATCTAATCTTCAAATCTCACAGTTTTGAAGACGCCACGCAGAGTCTCGTCTTCTTCTTTCAGCGATAATGGTCAAAAACAGGACGCTCTGTTTCTAAATGACTTTAGGTTGCTCCATATTGTCAAGGACAGCAACTCTATCTGGCAATCAGGACACGGCCATGTGCAGTTGCCATGGATACAAACAGCACATGTAACACAACACAAATGCTTGGCTCGCTCATATCTCCCCCCTACTTGTCCATGAGTCAGTGATCCATCGACATCACGCTGTCAGAAAATAAAACCATACCGCGAAAATATCTGATGTGTCTTTCTCGTACGGTGACACGTGGACGGTTGGGTATTTATTGCGGCGCTTTATTTAGCAGCGTTATCTATTTTCTGTGGAGGCTCCGCGAACACGATTTGATCTCTAACTCATTCCGTCCAAACTGTCCACTCACCCACCAACTGTCTTTCCCGGGTGTAGACGTCCGACCTTCACCCAGGTTCAGGGCCTCGGGTACATCCAGATCAACTTGCTGGACAATATACAGCTTTTACTGGTTTTATACAGCAAATAATATTAAGGTTGTCATGCGGTGGCCTTGACTCACTGAGTGGGTTATAAATCACAGCAGAAGAAGAGATGAGGCTGTGTCTCTTTGGCCTTGGGCTCACTGTTGGTGGTCTATTATGATAATTAAATAAAACAGTGCTTCACCGTCATGAGAGAGAGGTCACGATCCGTAATCCTATACTTGGCTGTCAACTCAAACACTATATACACGTTGATCTATGTGCTACTATTCCTCTAAATATCCGTTAGCTTCCCTGTGGCCTTGATGTTTTATTTTTAGCCTCATGGTTAAGTTACTCTGTCTACCTACAGTAAAAGTTGATGGAGACACAGTGTGACAGTAACATCCTGACCCCTGAAATCTGAGCGTGGTTACGCAGCATTGAAGCATGAGTGGGCAACAGACACCTACATGCTCCTCAGGGAAGTCATCTTGACTTTACTCAGTGACCCTTTAAGCTCCTTTGAGTCAACCTGAGATCCTTTGTTTGTGCTGAGTGTATATAGCAACGCAAGTCAGCCCTGCATCCCAGCTCAGTCAGACCCTATTCATTTCCAACACTCTGTCTGTTTAAAATCAGCGTCAGAGACGTTTGGCTCGCTGAGTCCTGAAGACGTAAGAATCAAGAGATTTACATTTGGGGCAATTTCAGTCAAGGTTGAAGAGAGTTGATCTAAACCAGTGGTTACAGGAGTCCATTATTATAATAAACATGGGATATAATTGGATAGACAGTAATTTGCCAGAGACCAAACCATGGTGCAGTACAAAGGAGTCACATTAAGTATTTTTTTATCTTTGGTATCCATGCATGTATTGATTGTATTGATATATATTATACTTCTGTTATATTGCTTTCGCTACAATTAATTTGTGATAATTATTGAAATGACTGTCTCGTTGGAAACAAAGGTTGGAAACATTTTATAAGTACAGATGTCAAACAAAGTATTCAACATAGGTCGATCATCGTTGTTTTTTAGACATTATAAAGAAGTGTTACACATCATATCTTTAATTCAAGTTAGTTGGACCAAATCAAAGCTTATTTAAAGTTCATCCCCAGACAGAACCATTACAGAGGGATCCGATAACTTAATGGGTCTTACTGGGATAGACCCATGTGATCATCTGTCTGCCTCTCTGGATTGTCTCCAAAAACATCACAGACCTTTGGCTTGTTTGATCCCCGCCGCATCTGCTATCCGCTGCAACTCCCACAACCAACCACCACTGACACGTTCAAGTCAAAGGGGTCAGTCATGCACCCAGAAGCGTCACAAGTTTCCAAGATCCCCCTCCCCCAAGCCCACTGGTTCAAAAATAGTCCCTGTTAGCCTTTTATAAAT